GTTGACTGTTGCGTAAAGAAAAATTACTTGTTTATTCTCATGCATTTTGCAATTTTTCTTTGGGCCCCCCATGAGATTTGTGGATAAAATAGTAATTTGCTAAGCAACCGTGATGAAAAATTACTATTCTACCCCCACCAACTCCTTCGTCTAGCTCTACGAACTCCATTAAGAAATCCAGAGAGTTAAAATAGCAATTTGCCCCTGCACTACCATTATTACTTGTCTGCCCTCATCTTAATTTAAGTAATATTTGCAACGTTTCAAACTGAATTTTGCTATTGTGGAAAAGCAAAGCAGGAGGAATCTTAATCATCATTATCAAATATTTCCTAACATCAAATTTGCGTTGGTGAATGACAAAGACCCCCCCCCACCAATGCTTCCCAGTGGTTTTAGAGAGAGACTGAGGTCCCTTAGGCTTTCAATGGTTAGAGAGAGAGAGAACCCTTGGACTTTGATCGAGTGGTTACGTTTTACTTATGCATGAATGCAATGATTTGAAATTCGGAGTGCTTTATTTATTTATAGGTAAAAATTATAAAGAAAGTCGATCATTTTATTTTTTTTTAATTTTTCAAAATTATTTCTCGGTCACCAAATTTTGATATTATTTATTGGTCACCAAATTTTGATATATATATATATATAGTTTTTTTCATTAGTAGGGCGGATCCCTACTGTTAAGAAAAGCTAAAAAAACTAAAAAATAAAATTCAAAATTCAAGTTAATCGAAAGGCAATTTAAAAAAAAAAAGTTGACTGACTTTCTTTTATAATTTCTACATATATAAATGAAGCATTTCATATTTTACCAGTAAAAATGTTAGGGTCTCTACGTAAATCACTCTTGAATTTTTAAGGGAGAGAAAGAGATTCCTTAAACAAGCTAATTTAAAAAGACACTACACTAGCAGTACAAAGGTAAAGAAAAAATTGTATGAAAAACGAAGGGACATGAACTTGTAGCTACTGCCTTGGATCCAATCTTTGTTCAACTTCTCTCTCTCTCTACCGTTTGATTACTCGACCCCTATACCATTTGACTACTTGAAACAGAAGCAGGACCAGAAGAAAACGAGGGAAGTGTAAAAAAGACACAAGAAGTACTTGCACCCAGCTTCCCCATTTTCCCCTGGTAATGCCATGGATGCTCTTTGAAAAATGCTTACTGCTTTCTTACAACCTCAACCTCAACTCTCTCTTCTTTTTCATCCTTATATTGACTGATTTCAAGATACATACCACTCTTTTAAAGTTGCTTCAAATTCACAGACTAAACCAGAGAGAGAGAGAGAGAGAGAGAGAGAGAGAGTACGTACGTATTATTTA